AGACTATGACATCATCGATAACACCATATCGCACCATAGGGCACATGATACTTAGTAATCCTTACCCAGCTAGGTACCAGGGGTCCATTACCGGTCCCTGGGGGGTTTCCCTCATGTATATAAGGCAGCATCCTGGGGCACCCTGTCCCCCAGTTCTATTCACTTCGTTGTTGCGCTTAACAGCATTACCTCCCCCACACTTAAGTGCTTTATCTCCCCCCCTTACTATCAAGCTATAAGGTGGGTTTATAGGTTTTGTGATAGTTGAATAGAACTGCTTTAAGGTGCACTGGGCCCTGGCAAGGGTCCCTTGCTACCTGCTTTGTTACAGGGCCTATTGGTCGTTGCTATGCCCCTATGCTGCATAGCGTAAGGTGGCCTTTTCATGTGGGTTCTGGGGGTTATGGTTTGTCAACTGAAAAGTGGCAATACCTTTCTGCGAAGCACCTACCTTTATTGGTCAGGGTTGAACAATTGGTGTCAACATGCTGAGCTTTTCGCCGGTCCCTAGGCGTAAGGGGAGGTTGCTGCCTTATGGGCAACATGCTGGAATGTGGTTTACCATTCTATGAGGCCTTAGGGCTTACGACGGATAACCAGCATGGGCAGCCTTAGGGAGAGTGTAAGATTCTCCCAAAACCACTTGCAGCGGGCGTGGAAACCCGACTGAGATCTGTATTCCCCCCTCCCTACCTGCTGAGAGAGAGCAGGAGGACGCTGACACGAAGCACGACCAATGGACCCTGTAGTATAGCACATACCCTTTTCTTCGCTCTGAAAAGAGCCAGCTGAAAAGCTGTTATCTAATCCCCTCTGCCGTAGCCATGCCGAAAGCCAAACCTTTCATTGTCACCGCCAAGCACGAGCCGACAGGCCTGCTTGAGCGTATCACCATCCACAACACGCACAAGTTCGATGACGTTGGCAAACCTCGCCGAATTGTACGCCCCACCATCAAGCCACTCATTCGCCGCCCTTTCAACCCTGAACGCGCTGAAAAAGCGAAACACGACATCAAGGAGCTTGCACTTCGCGCGCATCTCTTCAAGAAGCAACAGTTGCTCGATCGTATCTCCGACCCTGCTCCCCCTCTCATCGATCGCATCGATATGCAGGCGGGACCCTCCTACAAATACGAACCACCCAAGCCGCTCCCCGACATTCACTTCCAGCGCACAAAGATTCTGCTGCGCACATCCGAGTACAACGAGATGTTTGCCGCTACAGCCGACAGGCTGGAGCCAGTGTTCGCTCGGATGGAAAAGGAAGAAGGAAACTTGGAGCCGGAAGTTGTGGCGAAAGTCAGGAGGATGGGCAATGGGTTCGACGAGTTGTATCATGGGCTGGAGAAGAAGGCGCACCGGCTTACCAACAGGCACTGGAGAGTTATCAAGCGCGACCTGAAAAGGATCGGGCATGTCTCCTTTGAAGACTTAAGCAGTCACCTGCCGGAGATTTGTAATGAGTTGGCTAGCCTAAACATCACCTTCAAGTACGAAGTGTAGATAGTGGAATAAAGATTGGCAATCTTTCTGGCATAATTGGCTTATATGGCATGAGGAGGAGATCTCCTTCGCTTCACTTTTTTCTTTCAATCATAAGTGAATATGGGCTAATCACAGCTATAAGAAATGGCCCCATACATCCCCTTCGTTCCAACCGAAGCATTCGCTATTGCCACGGAAGAAGAGTGGCGCAATGCAATCTTCCAGAACGTGAACGTCTCTGACGAACAAGCAGCTCTGCTGCAAACGGTTACTGCGAATGCCGCAGAATCAACCACTGGACGAGTCAGAGACTGGATTGGTCGCCTGACCTTAGAAATAAGCAGGCACTACGACGGATACCTTCAGAGCCTCCTTCGAGAGGTGGAATCCCTGCATATCACGGTCCAGAATCAGCAGGCACTAGTCGATTCCTACAAGCAACAAGTTGATGCGCTACCTGCATCAACGGGTAGTGGTCATTCCCGTCAACCTAAGATTGGGGAACCTCCGGCCTTTAAGGGCAGTGAGGATAAGACCAAGCTTGAGGAATGGCTGGACCTGATCGTACTGTGGTG